TGACATGCAGCAAAAGGGCCACAGGTGGGACCCCAATCCATGGTCGCTGCAGCAAGGACTGAAGACACCAGAGCACCACCCCGGATGAAGTTGTTTTTAAGCTGAGAATGTTTAAATCAGCGTAACAACCTGGCTTTATTATTTAAGTTAAACCTCATATGGAGGAACACTGAAAACCAGCATCTGGCGTTTCAAAGTTTTAAAATTCACCCTGGTGCTTCCTGCAAAATGGCCCATTTGGGAAATTTCCTGATATTCCAGTGCGTGACGACTTCGTCTGAAGATGTTATAAATAATACAGATGAGTATGTCGTCTTCACCTGGGCACAATGTGGTGCAGGTCACTCTCTGGAAGGGTGGGCCCTCGCAGAAGGCACCTCCATTCAGAGGGGCAGGATTGGTGCAGCTGCGTGTTCGCCGCTGCCAGCCTCGCCCGCACCGAGCATTACACTCTGACCACTCAGTCCAAGAAGACCAACCTCCGCTAACTGACAGAGAGACAGACACACAGACGGGCAAAGTGAGCAGATATTTCAGGTAATACCCTAGTCAACTTTAACAGAAATGAGAATATTACAGCCTGTAGTAAAAACTTTGTAAAATTACTAAATTACTAGTATTAGCTTACTAAATATATGTGTGTAATCTGGTGTATTTATAGAATGGACCTTTCATACATCCTTCAACTGCCTACCACTTTTTAAGGCTTTTTAAATATACAACTTAGTTCCCATAAATAGTTCAAAAGAGCATGGTAGTTTCCAAATCATATTTAATTAAGGTTTTCACCATTGTCTAACATGAAAGATGCAATACGTTCAGTCAAAAATGTAAGATATACATTTGGGTACAGAGCTGCTATAATGTAGAAATCATAATTTGAAAGTCACTAATGCTAAATCAATCTGACATGAAACACATCTATCTTCTGTATTATTCCCAAACCAATCTCCCACAGTCTCCCAAAAAACAAAATTGTAACAGTTTTGTATCATAGCTAACCTCTATCATGAATGGCAGGAGGTTTATCCTCACAGATGAGAAGGAAAAACGTGTGTGGGTGTGTTACCATAAACAATAAGAGTAGCTGTGCTGCTGCGTCTTTTGGCCACCACATTACGAGCCACGCAGGTGTAGTTAGCAGTGTCTGAGAGTCTGGCCTGTTTGATGATCAGATCATGATCAATGGTGATCAGGAAGTTGGAGTCTTGTGATGGATCTATGATGTCCTCATTCTTCAGCCAGTCCACCTAAAGAGTGACACACACAAATACACCCCACTCAAAACTTTGTTGGACTGAAAGAAATCTTCAGGTGATCACACAAAGTGATGGAATTAATTAGAAAAAGAAAAAAAGTACAATTTCAAACAAAAAGTAATCATTGCAGAAGATTTTAGATTCTTGAAAAATGTCCGTACTCTCCAACCTCGGAGTTCTGAATAATGGACTTCTTTTAATTCTTTTGGCAGATAACTCCTCAGAAATCATTGTACAAATCAGCAGGTGTGCATGCATAAACATGAGTCAGCACACCACACACACGGACCCATTCAGTAAACACGATAAACCTGCAGAGTATTAGGCCATCACGACACGCTTCAATGCTACACGTGGTATTGATCAAACACTGTCAATATTTAATAATTTTTAGTTTGCTCAGGAGATTTTGTGGCTACTTTTGGCCAAACTCACTTTTATTTTTGATACATCCTCCTTACTAATGGACATAACATCATAGCCCACAACCACAATACAAGTTTTCATCATGAAACACATTCTGTAATTCACAAACATGAGCTTTTACACTTTCATGCTATGTGCTTTTAATGTCACATAATAAACTGTTATTAACCACTAAAAAGAATAATACAGCTTGGCAGAATGTAAGTATTTACTTGAGTGATAAAATTCTATATTCATGAATAGTTTGTTTTACTTTTTAAATATATTTGCTGCTGTTTTATGAGAGAAATAAAACTGTTTGATATAGTGCTATACAGTTAAAGCAGCTTAGTGTTAAAACATGACACAAAGTGGATTTAAGTATAGCCTTTTTTGCTTTGTTGCTTAAATAACGGCAAATATTATTACTGATCGTTCTATAGTTCAGGGAGTTTTTTTTTTTTTTGATGGTGCCTCGCAGCTGGATAGACTTAAATCTCTCAAACTTTGGTGGCCCGCCCCTTAATATGCGCCCTTGTATATTACATTTATGTTGTTATTTAGATCTCGGCTTTGCAATCTCGGGTTGAGATATAGAGCTATAAAAAATATAAATACAAAAACACAAAGCCCAAAAGTGACAGCAAAAAGCAATAAGAATTGGGATGAGGAGGGAGAGATCTACCTCGGCAGTGGGCATGCCCTCCGGGGGGCGACACTGCAGCAGCACCTCCTGTTCGAGTCGTACCTCCCGCCCCAGAGGCTCCTGCTCAAAGTTCTTCCTAAGGTCTACAGGGGGCGACACAGATGTAGTCAGCAGTTAGTGAAGGCTGCCCCGTGACAGCAGTGACACCCTGTTTATCTTTGTGACATTGCCTGTCACACACACTCACACACACACACACCAGGCAAAGCCCCAAAAAGCCTCTGTCACTATGTCGTGTTTTTTTCACTTCATACCCTCATAAACATGCAGAGTGTCAATCACACTACGCCACACATTACCACGGGGGACTATGATGGAGTGTTACAGCAAATTCATTTGCATATATACTTAAGCTGACATATATGACAAGCAAAAAGTCGGAAACATTTGCCCTTCTGCTGTCTCTTTTCCTTCCTTTCTCTCACACACAAACACGAACACACACGCACACACAGCCTTGGTACTGACATGCAATGCGAACGTAGGCACGGTTGCTCTTTGTGGTGCCAGCCGAGCTCCAGGCCACACACTGGCACCAGTAGTCCTCCAACCCAAACAGCTCCTCCACCTGCGTCCTGGACACTGAGATATCCACCTCTCGCACCACCAGGCCTGTGCACAAAGAGAGAGAGAGAGAGAGAGAGAGAGAGAGAGAGAGAGAGAGAAAGAGAGAAAGAATTAGAGGAGCATATTTTTCACAGTGCATATAAATAATGCATTGGCTGCGGGCCAAATGCAGTTAACGTGCACATAAAATCCTATGGGAGCTAATGGATTATGTAGTTGAAAATGATGTTTGTAATTGAGTATGATTTTTATGTCTGTGAAATACAAGGTGACATTACTATGTGTGTGTGTGTGTGTGTGATGTTGTTTACAGTACACCTCTGTGTGTGTATTACCTGTGATCTGGTCCAGGCTCTCTCTGGTGACGTGATCATTTTGATTGACCCATTCTCCGTTACATTTGAAGTAGATCTGAGTGGCTGGTGATGCCCGGCAACGTAGCTGTACCGGCCGGTTCTTTACGATGAAGGTGTCCTCTGGTTCCAGCAGGAATTCTGGGAGAGGTTCTGCCGGCGCTGATGGGAAGGAATCGGGGAGAACCTCGGTCTCGGTGTAGTCGCTGCTCTCTGAAAATGAAGAGCACAGGAGTGATTAGGATGGCAGTCTTTCAATGGGAAGTCCAGAGTTAAAGAGGCGTACTCAAGCAGTGCAGAGTCTCCATCAGTATTTGGATGGCTGCTCTGAGGCTGATCCTGCATTCCAACCTCACTGTTGAGGAGGTAAGAAATAAGCAAAAGGACAAATGTCCCTCGGGGATCAATAAGCTATCACATACCTGGAGGGAATATGTGTGTGTGACAGCTTGTCTTGTGTGTCTCAGTCCTGCTTTAGGGCATGTGTGGACAAATTCGTCAGCAGTGTTTCACTGTATACATTAAGGCAAATCTGTTTGTGTATCTTATTTAGGACATTTAAGAGACTGACAGTTTGCACTGTAAATAGAGGGGTGGGGTGACATTTTCGCCTCCTTGTACTGTCAGTAATCTGGTCAATGCAGGCCTTCTGCTCTGGTCTCCCTGGGAGAGTCCATGCCTCTCAGCTGGGTGGGAGAGCTGCTGACCTTCCACGGACAGGTCCTGTTGATCGCACATTATCCCCTGACATTTTCGATGTGACACATCCCTCCTGGCAATGCTGCCAAGAGCTTCTCCTGGCAGGAAGGACACTATCTCTGACCTCTTCACTGCGACTTGTTACTCGAATAACGATGGGTGGATCCCACGCAGTATATCAATGCTGCAATGTTATTGGCAACTATACTGGTTTCACAGCAGTAGATAGATTTAGGTATATTTTCTGATAACTTTGCTATTTTGCTTTGATGTTTTTCAAGGTCAGCACGTTTACTGTACAGATTGTGAAGTCCTTTTGAGGTAAATTTCTGATTTTGATTTCTATAAATAAAACTGACTTGACTTGACAGTTTCAGTTTCAGCTGTCCAGAGGTGTTAGTACTGGGATGTAACTAAGAATTTCTGTATCCGTCTGACTTGTCTGTTTACAGGGCTGCAGATGATGATGCAAGCTCAACTCTTCTAACACAAGTCATGTGTGTCCATCAACTGGACTGTATCCTGGGAAAAACAGTGAAGCACGGGCAGACTGGAGAAAAGTTTATGGCACGACAACAGGACTGCGGTAGCTTCTGCCATGCAACAACCTGACCATAGTATAGCTGTGATGGTCTGTCTGAAACCTGAGGCGTACAGCACACAAATACAACAATACACTTAAAGTATGTTTAAAACACCACAATAAGTGAGCAGGTGCCATAGATGTTCTCTCTCTTTTTATGCAATGTTAACATCTACTGTCAAAACCCTGTCATCACTTTCTGACTTTCCCTTTCGGGTAATCCTGGTTCTTATAAATTGTTAATGGGTCTGACCTTCCAATAGAAAACTTTGTTCTGCTTACGAAAATGATCTAAGTTCAATAAGCATTAAATGGAAGACTGGAGCGGAGTGCAAAGGATTGAAAGGGTCGGCTCCAGTCAGGAGCTGCAAAAAAAAAAAGGTACGGGCATATCCAGCCCAGTGCACTTTCTTCCCTTGACACGCACACACACACACACAGACACACACCTGCAGGCATGGGTGCAGTGTGCTTTTCTTACACAGCAGTCTCACAGCACTACAGTTTTTAAATCTCATTCTCTACATTCAGTGGATAAAGAAAGAGGTGGGAGGGCAGATGCAGCCACTTTTAAGGCTTAAATGAGACTTAAACCAGACAAATTTGCAGTTTTCAAAATGTATCGAGCCCAACCTGATCAGTTATTCCACAACCAGGGAACAAGAGAAACTACTTAGAAAGATACCATCTCCTATTTTAGGAAAGTGAGCACTTCCCCACCCCCATCCCACTGTTTCCCCTGACAGACTGTCTGAGGCATTAGGGGAAAGCAAAGAGGAACACGGAGCGTGAAGGAAGTGAGAGAGAAAGTTGTGGCACGATTCAAACCAAGGCCTGCAGGGATTCATGGGATTCAAGTGGTTGTAACGTCTTCAGGTACAGTGACTGTACCATCTCGCGGAGCTGTGGCCACGGGACAGGCAGAAAGGGCAACAGCTGCCTCTGGCCCACCACCCATCCAGGATGGACCCGTCATCCTTAATCTGTCTCTACGTCTCTCCAGCCTGTCTTTACCGCAAACACACCCTCATTCTTCTCCTTCCAAAAAGACCTTCCACTGACTATGTATATTTACTAACCATGACCCCAAACTGAACCCTCACCACTGCACGCATTTACGCTTTACCCTACCTTGACCCCAGTGTGGTACAGTAAAAACAGAAGTGCTTATTTTGGTGATGAGCTAGAAAAGAGTGATTATTATTATAAAAAACATGATTATTTCTATTTTTATTTTAGTTACAAAAAACAACTAAAGTAATAAATGATTTAGTACATTTAGGCACAGCTACTAACTAATCAAAATGACAGATTATGTACTTCTGCTGCTGTTGACTATTTTCATCGACCACATTGGAACTTCCAGAGGAATTCAAATGGACAAACACATTTTATTACAAAAATATGCTTTTAAATTGTAGGAAACAAAAGATTGTGATTTCTCAACCTAATCCTACAGTAGTAACTCCAGCCCAGTCTTAAAGTCTTATGATCTAATTACGTTTGTTTTCCACTTGGCTGCCATAATACTTGGCTGCCATATTTGTGTGTTGCGATTGATAGAAGAGTTTAGACTGGCTGAAATTTTTACAAATGTTCAATAGCATCTGCTTAGCCAAGAGAAATGAGGCAATATGGTTGGCCATATTCTGAACAGACACAAACACAACCTGTTTCAAAGAAACTATTTTTCAAAGAAAAAATGTGGATGGACGGAAACACAAATACAGCAAAGTTAGTCAGACAGGTGTGGCCACACCCTAACTCTGAACTAAATCTTACTTTAGTGAAATATGCAAATTCTAACACCACCAATAAGACATGAAATGACATGACATGACATGACATAGCGTCATGTTAAACCTGCACACGTATCCATGGATCAACACTGACACTTGTTTCTGCTCCAACAGGTTATACCTTGGCAGGGGTCCACACTTTCATTAATACACATACGCTCAAATAACCAAGTGCAATGGTTAGTGGTAAAGACAAATCAATAGGAATACTGAAAGTTAACACATCTCAGTGATGTTTAGTGATGTTTAACAAGGAACATGAATCACATTCATTGTTGTGCCTATCTCCCAATCCTCTCCTCTGTCTGTTTTCTCTCCTCACATCCTCTTGCTCTCCTCTTACTAAGCCGTCGCCTCCAGTCTTTCAGACTTTGAATTCACTGTCAATAACCAATTGTGTGTCCCCTCCCCGCCCCTCACCCCCGCTCTTTCCCTTTGTCCGGCATTGATCGCTCGGTGTTCAAACATTGGCTGAAAAACACAGCCTGTCACTCTTCAGGCGCGATGAGAGGGGGAACAGGGAGAGAAAAAAGAGGAGGGCTGAGGAAGAATGGCAGCAGAGACAGACAAACAGAAAGAGACAGTGGTTGAGAATGGAGATAGAATGGGAGGAACAGCCCTGCGTATTTGGATAAATCTCGATATGCAATTTGTATGTGTGTGTACGTGTATGTGTGTGTTCTGGGGCCTGCAAAGTACCACGGTTTAATTAAAACACTTTTGGATGACAGAGGTAGGAGACAGACAGACAGCATCTTTCTCTACCCCTGTCTCTCTCTGGGATAATGGAGCTGGGGGTTTAAAGTGGAACCTGTGTTTTTGGGCCAGCATACAAACATCCATCAGAGCTCAGCAGCCGGCAATTTGTGCGGAATGGAGGAACCTTAAAAACAATAACTCCTCGCCGTGCAGCACAGCAAGTCTTTTATTACTCTAATGACAGACAGCAGACAGCTAGAAAGCAAACACAGGCTTCTGGGTATTCTTTTCTAGAGCACTCAATCGCACACAATCGCACAAACTCATACACACGTAGACCCAGACACTAGATGACAACCTATGCTTATACAGTACATTCTCACCCACTTGTATTCATGTATGCTAAACTCAAATAGTGTAACTGGAGGAGTCCCCTCCTTCGGTGACTGTGTGGCGAGTGCAGAGCTTCACTAAAGTGTAACTGAGAGTCAGAGTGACAGTGGTGGAGCGAGGCCACAACTAGAAGGCAGGCCTGCGTGGGAGAGAGATAGAGGGAATCTGGACAGAGGTGACAAGATGGGAAGAGAGGAAGGCTGGCCAAAGACAGGTCAAGAGACACTAATAGACAAGTGGAGAGGAGAGAGACAATGGAGTACACACAAAGTGCACACACACACACACACACACACACACAATACCGGACTGCTGAAATAACTGGAGGAAAATGAATGACAGCAATGTCTTTGTCTCAGCCTGACTGTGCAACTGTCTCTGTTGTTCTTTCAGCCCTGTCTGTCTTTCTCCACCCTCTCTTTTCTCTTGCCTCTCATTCTTACATACACACACATGCACAACTGTAATTTTCTTAGTCCCGGCGCCTCTAGCCAGAGTGGAGTCTAAAGCGTCTGTACTTTATCATTACCTTTACAGAGTTAGTCATTACTGTCCCCTCCAGTGCCCTCACTATCCCAACACTGCACTCAGAAGTGAGGGAAAAAAGAGCAAGAGAGAATAAAGCATAGGAAGGAGAATAGTTTGAAGCAGCTGAACAACAGAAAGAAGCTATAAAAGACACAGGGGTTAGGCTGTGTTTAGCAAGATCGGGAATCTTTTTTTTTTCTTTAGGCGTCCTATGAGGTCAAAAACAAACAAGCAACAGCACAGCGTCCCACCTCCTCCCTTCCGCTTTCCAGTTTGGTGTCTGACACGGGAGTGCTTTTCTTCTTCTGCCCCCCCCGACTCCAGTCCTCCTTCCCTCCTGCCTGCTGGATTCAAAGCACTTTGCGCAGCTCCAGTAGACTTCAAATGACATCCTACAGTCTTAAACACAAACACACACGCATAGAGGAAGAACTATAGCCCGCAGCTATGAAGCTCAACCGGTTCACTGAGCCCACTAAGGACAAACAGCTGTGAGGACAGACAGCCAAATATGACAACACTGCTGGTGACAGAGGAAACAAGGCCAATAAATAGAGTGATCAGCAGCCATTATGTAACATTGACTGGCTGACCATATCCATCATCCTCACCCAATCTACCTCATTATCATCATTCTTGCGAGGAAGCCCCGAGGTAGAGTCGTACAAGCCATGTGCATGCGCGCGCACACACACACACATACACACAGAGGCAGGTCGAAAGAGACAGAGATGGATGGAGGGAGACAATTTCTCCTTGCCTTCCTTAAAGGACAATTACATTGAATGATTGATATTCAGACTGACCTCATCCTCATCACCCTGAAAACAATTCGCTACAGGAGGAGAGAGAAGAAACCAGCAAGGAGGGGAAAAGATGAAGTGAAGAGACGTGATGACTGGAAAAAAGCAAGTGTCGAGATTTAGACGCGGATTTGATGGAAAAATCACTGAACGTGGTGAGTGGGACAGTCCTCAGTGTGTGTGTGGTGTGTGTGGTGTGGTGTGTGTGTGTTTGGCATCAGGCAGGCATGAGGCGACATGAGCGAGGTTGAGCACCACCCATCTTCCTCACATCAAAAAGCCCAGACCGGTTGACGGAGTCTGCCGTTCACCCATCTGACTGACACCACCACCACCACGCACAAATACTTACAGTATAAGCAGCCCTTCTGAGCACAGACAGGGGGGAAAATTGGTCATCTTTTAATAGGAAATGTCGTTAATTCACCAGTGACTAACAGGCACGCCATTATTTTCATTTCATCATGGTAGCTGTGAGGCGACAGGAGGCAGGAAGCACAATTTGACGTCCTGCTAAGAGCGGCACAGATCCATCCATGTGCTCTCTCATAAAGCCTTCGACACATTGGCCTCAAAAGTTCTTGTTTGGATATTTTGATACTACCACCAAGATGTGCACCTGCGGCGCCTCCACATGGCTCTGCAGCCTGTTTCTTTGTACTCACCATGGTGGCTCTCTAACTAACAGACTCACAGATTTCTCACACAGGCAGGCAGGCAGGCACATGTTTTTTTCCCCTGTAACTAGCAAAATTGACCCAACAGTCTGATATTTGAGAAATACACTTACTTGCTATTTTCCCATAGTCAGATAAAAAAGAAACAAAATCAGGTTCATCTTTGTGTGTCCTGTACAGCAACAGGTCCAAAATGTGGAAACCAGAGAAAGCAGCATTATATTATGTGAAATTAACAGTTAGCTATTTAGACATTTGAAGCTTTGTCTTCTACATTTCTT